CGCTCAGACCGCGACCTTTAAGCTGTGTGCGAGCAAACAAGGTGCCTGAGCGTGGCTGTGTTTCACTCCAGCGCTGTCCTCGAGACAGCCTGATCCCTTCACCTGATGAAGGCCGCTTGTGTTGTGGCCGAAACGTCGTGATTTTTGTTGTTTTATTTTTTTATCTACGTGACTTTACCGAATAGAACCAAAGAGTATGGATCCTTGCAGTCACGAAAGCTTTAAATCTAGAAGTGCCTATGAAGGCTGGGGCATGAGGCACGAGGGGAGGGGTGGCCAGCACCATGCCCGGCCGCCTTTGTCTCCCCAGAAGCCATGTTTATATACCACACCATGGTACCCATTTGAGGTCGAGTCGACCAAGTGGAGGCCCAGAACTGATTGAGATAACCATCAATACGTGGCCATAAGCGGGAATCGAACTCGGGACGTTGGATTTCGTAGCGCGGCGCATGAGCCGCTGAGCAACAGTTCCCCACAAACATCCCCCGTATAGCCACGACAGGCTGTTAGGGCAAGTGCTGTTAGCGAGTAGCACCGCTGAAGGATGGAACGGCACACGAGGGGAGTCCGTGGCCAGCACCACGCCCGGCCACCTTTCTTTCCCCAGTGCTGATGTTTACACATCCCACCAGGTTACTCATTTGAGGCCGAGTCGACCTAGGGGAGGATGGGCCCAGGCCCGGTTCAGAAAATCGTCACCGTGCATTGCCCTGAGCGGGAATCGAACTGGGGTTGCTGGGTTTGTAGCGCAGCACCAACCACTGCGGCACCGTTCCATATACACACACACAACCGCCATTCGCCACTAAGTGGCGGTGACGTCACCACGACACTTGTGCCAGGCCATGTGCACATTGAGGCCACGTGAAGTGTCGAACGCCCGCTGGCAGGTCACGAGGCAGACCCAAGTGCCACGGGTCGACTGACTAAGATGACTGGCTGATGCACCACCTGTGCCTCCTACTGTGCCAACCTGCTGTACTTTAGCCACCCGGCGCTCCGCTCGTTGTTGTGAGCGTCGCTCCTCCGCCATCCGTTGTTGGAGGGCGACTGCCTCCAACTGCCCAGTAGCGTCCTTCACGAGCCTCTTCCACTGAGGCCGATATTGACATCGCTGGTACCAGTCATCAGCAAGTCCACTCAGCTCCACGTTCTCCTGTACCACATCACTCCATCTCTTCTCTAGCCCATGCCACGCCCGTTTAGCCCCCTCGATCCGGCCTAACAAAAAGCTTTTAGGCATGCGGTGGCTGGGCATGCGGGCTATATGACCCAGCCAACGCAGCCTTGACTGCCGGAGGAGCTCACCGATGGGACCTTGTCCAGATCTTTTAAGCCTGGTTAAACCCAGGATGGATCGTAGACAGGATAGCCTGTTTCTAACCGGCGAAGATGTTCCATTAGGGGGTCCACGTTTCGCAAGCGTAGAGAAGGGAGGGAATGACTGTGGCCGAGAAGACCTGAAGCTTAGTGCGGAGCGACAGACCAGGTAGCTTCCACACAGCGTTACATAACCGATGAAAAGATATTTCCGCTCGACTGATTCGGAGCGAGACCTCTGCTGTTAAACTGGAGCCGGTCATAAGCACACTGCCCAGGTATGGGGAAACTCTCCACTCTCTCCACAACTGCCCCATTACCGACTGGGAGCCGTGGGGGTGGAGTGTCCGATCGTACAAAATGCCCAGGCAGGTGCTTAGTTTTGGTAGGGTTGATGGTAAGGCCCCACCTCTTAGTGGCACGCTCCAGTCTCTGCAGCAGCATCTCCAACTCCTCCTCTGAATGAGCAGCTATTACCAAATAATCGGCATACATATGTAGTGGGTTCCAGAGACACTTCGGATAGGTAACTTCTTTTTAACAATACAGCACTCTAACAGTCCTCCTCATACCACTGCTACAGCCTAGGGACACAGCCCACTCCTAGCGTGCCGTGACACTGGCAACGCTCTCGGGTCCTCCGCTGTAATTACCCTAGGGGAGGCTACCCTGACCCGACCCAGCCAGAGTGCGGGTCCAGACTCCGGCTTCATCGGACCTCGCCCTCACAAGGGCGTGGAGCCGGGAGTCCCAGAGTCCCACCACTGGCCCAGAGTCTCAACACCGGCCCAGAGTCCCACCACTGGCCCAGAGTCTCAACACCAGCCCAGAGTCCCACCACTGGCCCAGAGTCCCACCACTGGACCGCACAGCGTCCCGGCCCTGATAAGGACAGCGGGGAGAGCGGGTCCAGGGTTCTATCTAGCTGCTGGTCTTCGGCTTCGGTTTTCAACTGGTCCCAGATCGGCTGGGGAGGTCCCCTTTTACGCCCCTTGCCTATTGAGGGGTGGGGTTGCGAGGGATCCTAGAACCCTCACAGCCCCCCCCCCCCCCCCCCCCCCGTTGGGGGCACCAAGGGGCTGAGCTGTCTGGGGATCCTGAGCCCCCAGCAGCCCCTCCCCTCTTAGGGTTGGCGCCACAGCCCCTCCCATGACGGTACGAGGTACCGTTCCATCTATGGCACTACACATAACGTGGTTGAGCAATGGAGAGCCATCCCTTGACCACACCCGGGCATCGATCAGCCTCCCATTATATCTGTACCAAATGGAAATTCCCCCGGTACAGCTATTGAAGGCTTCACAAACGTGGTCAAAATATGTTAAATAATTTTGGAGCCAGAGGACATCCCTGTCGCACCCCAAGGTGTACAGGGAATGGCTCCGACTCCCGGCCATGCAGTTTTACCAGGGCCCGCACACCATCATGAAGGTCCTTAATGATCGTGAGCAGAGGGTCAGGGACTCCGAACACACGAAGAACAACCCAGAGCCCAGGCCTACTGATGGTATCATAGGCCTTGACCAGGTCAATAAAGCAGAGATGTAGGTCTTGTTGAAATTCCCTACACCTCTGCTGTAGCAGACGGACAGAAAATATGGCATCTGTGCAGGACCACCCTTTTCTGAAACCGCATATACACACACACACACACGACGCTGGGACACAAAACACTGGACGATTTGAGTTCGGTTTGTGTTGCGATAGGGAGTAAAATCTTTATTTACAGCCAGGTTTACAAGAATATATACACGTGTAAAGAACGACACTGCATTGTCCAAGCCCTTACCCCATCGTACCATGTGGAACGACTAAACGGGAATCTTCGGTACTGCATAAAGCAAAAAGTGAACGGTTAAAAACGTTTAAAACGCCACGTAAAAACACGCGTGGCCAAGCAGAGCCTTACAAAATAAACCACGTCTCCCCAAATCATCCTCGTCATGTACCTTACAAACCCCAGAGCCGATATTCAATTCATTCTAACAACCGTGAAAATGTTAAAACATTTTAAACCAAAGCATGGCGGTTAAAATACCGTTTATAAAATATCTCCCTCGAACGAACTCCACAACTCTGAAAAGTCAGTAACACGTGGTTAAAAAGCAACGTCAATCAGTCTTCTCACTGTTAAAATCTACACCGTCTAAATTTGTACATCCTTTCCCCTCTCCATGGGGGTGCGATGCCACCCTCCTTAAAAAAACGCATTGACGCGCGAGGGCATGGACAAGAGGGAGGGGGGTTACAGACGAAACCAACCCGCTCCTCTCCCCCCCCCCAAAAAAATATTGTAGTCCTTAACCACAGCCGAATCAAACAACTGCCATGGAATGCACCACTTGACCTTTTAACACCCAACGATGACGTTTACGCGATCGTTTTGTTCGTTATAAAACCTATCAGTCCATCACGGCATGTGTAAAAGAAAGAAACACCCCACCCCCGTCGATACTCATCCTCTTAACGACAAGGTAAGGCGCGTGTCCCCGTAAACGACGGGGCGACCGCGCTCGGGGCCGTCGGCTAAAAACAAAGACAAGGCACTTCCCACCAAGTGAGCGTCGGCGGCGCCGTCCATCCCCACAAGCGGCAGCGCCTGCCGCTGTGCTCCTCTCCGCGCGCGGGCGAGCGAGCGGCACGCGTTCTCCTGAGCCACGGCGCAGTCAACACGGAGTCTACGAATGCATGCAAAACGTGCGCTCGCGCTGTGCAGCGTGCAGTGTGCCCCCCGCGCCCAAGTGCCGTGCAATTCAAAGTCGTGTTTAATCCGTGGCGGCGTTCAAGTCCACACCGTGCTCAAACCGGTACAACTGCGATCGTGAACCTGTGCAAAAAAAAAAAACCGTGTGCTGCGTGTTCGTTCGTTCGTTCGTGTGCGTGCGTGCGTGCTCTCAACTTTATGCTCCGTGCGTGCGCGCGCACATCTGCGCTCGGGGTGCAGGTGAACGTTCGCCAGTGTTCGGGTGAACGCTTGCCGGTGTTTACCGTACACGTGGCATCGTTCCGTGCCAACTCGCACCACCGCGCGCCTCGCTTCCCGTGCACAGCGAGTGCGCCGCCATGCTCTCCCCCAGCAGGCAAAACGGCAGGCACGGCGCGCCGGCTCTGCGTGCAAAGCCTCGCGGCAGTGCATCCTGCGCTAGCGACGGACCGGCAAAGGATCCCCCCCCCCATCCGACGGGAACCTTTAAATCCATTCGCAGGGTCGCTGGCTGGGCGATCACCCAAGACAGCCGTGCAGCAATCCCGGGCTCACATCCACCCAGCAGTAGACAGAGCATGCTGATCACAGAGGCATCTCCCCCCATGTCTCCACGCCCGCCCCCCATCCCCCACCTCCACCCCCCCCCCATCCCCCACCCCTCCACCCCCCCCCTACAACCCCACCCAGCCTCTCCCACGCCTTGTCCCACCACCGTGGGCCTTTCAGACTTTTCCCCACCTCTCCTCAATCCCGAATCGAAATGTATTTGTTAGGCACCGCACACGCCAGATGACTGATCAACACGTCCCCCATGCGACTTAGGTTTGACGATGCGCGCATGAACCGGCGGCCTCTACGTGGCAAGGGGCGCCGCACACACTTGCACTCCCGCGAAACGTCTCCGTGAATTTGAATCGGCTCTCTTAACATCAAGGGCCGCACGCGTCAGGCGCGTGCGGCGTGAACCAACTGAATGTCGATTTATTTATTTTTACGGAGGGAACCGGCGAAGATGGAAATGACGGACCGTGGCCGGTCGCGAGGACCGGAGCTTTTTAGAAACGCTGCCTTAACCACCACCTCCTCCTCCACGGACACAGTCCCGCCACGCCACCCTCCCACCATGCCCCCCCCTCCCCCCACCACCGTGCCCCCCCCCTCCCCAGTAGGGTGGCGGGCGTGCGTTATGACTCGACGAAGCAGTCCTTCTCGAGGCTCACAGACTCCACCTCGGCGTAGGACGGGTGGCCCGAGCCGCGGCGGAATCGCATCGACGGCCAGCGGCTGGGTCGGTGCTGCACACGCACGCAGCAACACCGGAGCACACAACACCGGAGCACACAACACCGGAGCACACAACACCGGAGCACACAACACCGGAGCACACAACACCGGAGCACACAACACCGGAGCACACAACACCGGAGCACACAACACCGGAGCACACAACACCGGAGCACACAACACCGGAGCACACAACACCGGAGCACACAACACCGGAGCACACAACACCGGAGCACACAACACCGGAGCACACAACACCGGAGCACACAACACCGGAGCACACAACACCGGAGCACACACGCGTCAACGCGGTCGTGCAATCGCTGCACGGATTAAGCACGATTTGGAATTGGGTGGGGGGTTCCATGCAAAATTTGCCTCTGCTGCAGTGCGAATACCACACCCAACAAAGACACAGATCCACACTCCCCCCCTACCCCCACCCCATACATCTTGGACAGACTGTTGAGGAAAAGTGCTGTTTGCTGGCACGGCATACAAAGGGGGTGTGGGTGGCCAACAACGCCCGGCCGCCTTTGGTTCCCCAAGTAGTGAAGTTTACACACGGCACCAAGTACTCATTTGAGGCCGAGTCGACCTAGGGGAGGCACACGACCACTTCAGATAACCGTCACTGGCGTTGGCCGCGAGCGGGAATCGAACCTCGGGTCGACGGGTTCGTGGCGCTAACCCCGCTGCGCTGAGAGCGAGCGCCGCAGACGCACGCACACACACAGACACACAATGATCCCCACCCCGTGCAGCCTCAGCCGGACCATCGGGGCGAGTGGCGGCCGCCTCGACGAGTCTCACCTCGATGATGAAGAGGCCGACGGGCGACGTCGGGTGCCGGTAGACGTAGAGGACGATGAGCGACAGTGCCACCAGGATGAGCACGGCGAGCAGCGAGCCCAGCACGGAGCCCACGTAGAGCGACGGGGAGTGCGAGTAGCTCTCCACTAGGGGGGGGGGAGGAGGAGGAGGTACACGGTGGCGAGATGTTAACTACCTCGCCTCGGTATTCAGGAGCTCGTGGGTTCGATGCCGACGCCGGTTCCTCTGTGGAGTTTGCGTCTCTCCTTCATGGTAGCGTGGATTTTATCCGGGTCCTCCGGTTCTTTCCCTCAACAATTAGAATCAACGTGCGTTTTAGACTATTTGGCTGCTATAAATGTCCACGTGATAAGCCGCTTCGTTGAGCTATCATTTGTGCCCAGTTCTCTTCTGAAAAAGCTTCATAGCTCAGTGGGCTTCACCTCTTCAAATAAAAAGTTGAGTTTTAGTTAGTGGCGGACGAGGGGACGTCCCCGCTGTGCCTCCGGAGCGACGGGTTGGGTGGGCCCCGCCCCCCCCGTGCGCACGAGCCGGCGGATCGCTGCAACGTGAGAGGCGACGCCGCTTGGGGAGGGCCTTCATCCAGTCGTGGATAGATCAGGGTCTCACATTCTCGTTACGTGGCCCAGTGACGTAGAGGCGGTGGTAGTCGCTTGGTGGCAGTCAAGCGAACACCGAACTCGTGGTGTTTATTCTCAAGAGTTGGATTTTTTTTCTCCCTGTTCAGCTGCTTATCAATTGCGTGAATTGCCAAGTCAACCATGACGGGGTTGTTGTACAGCGATATGCGACCGGGCTGACAACAATTAATTCGCTGTAGGGAAGGTGGGGCCACAACCCCATTTTGGGAGTGTCACAAATCTCTCCGTGCTCCACCAACCCCCCTCGTCTCTAAAGCGCTTGCACCACAGGTGTGCGCCCATGTCAGACTCCACCTTTGTCGCCCCATTCCAACTCGCAAAACAAGATAAGCACTTACTGGCAGACTTCTTCAGATGCAGAGACATGCTGCCTTCATCTGAAATGGAGCAGACCACAGGACGGACAGGCACAGGAGGGGGTTTCACAGAGGGCAAGCAGACTGGTGCAGAAGTAACAATTGTCTAACGACAACAAAGGGACCGAGTTCAACATCCAACGCGAGTGCGGAGTTTGTGTGTTCTCTCCCCATGTCCTGCGTGGGGTTTGCCTCCGGGTTCTCCGCTTGCTCCCATAATTGTAATGTTCTCCGGTGTCGGCCAAAAAGATCTCAAATGCTGGACGCTAAATATCCCATGGAGCCGTTCGCAAGAGTAGGCCAGTGTTGTGTGCGAGCGTCGTGGTCCAAACATCGAAAGTTACCCGCAAATTTCTCAAATAGGGATCACGGCACAGCAGCAACACAGCCTACTACCGTGATAACTTAAGATCCTTCTGAAATAGAGGCTTTATTACGCTTGGATAAACAAGTGTATTAAAATAAAATTTTATCCAACAAACCGGTGTGTTAGTGAAGTAGACTAAAACTGAAGTTTTTTATTTGACCAGGCAAGGCCCACTGAGAAATGTAGCTCTTTTTCAGAAGCGACCTGGCCACAAATCATAGCTCAATCAAGTGGCTCATCACGTGGACATTTACAGCAGACAAATTCTCTCAACGCATGATGTCCATTCTAAATGTGGAGGGCAAAATCCGGAGGACCCGGAGAAAAATACATGCGGCCACAGAGGGAGAGAGAAATGCGAACTCCAAATACACACACATCAGTGGGTCAGGATCGACCTCTTGTGTACCAGACAAAGTAGCTAATATCTCGCGACTAGGCGTTAAGATTCAACATCAACCAACGGACTCTACAGCTCGTCGCTGGTCCAGGAGGCGCAATAGTGGGCGGCCATCACGGAGCGGCCGCGTTACCTCTGGGGCCGAAGCTGGTGGTCGCCGTTTTGGCGGTGGAGGCCGCGGTGGAGCTGGGCTGGGTGCTGTGCCGCGCCGATGGCCCCGAGGGCGAAACGTCGCTCGAGTTCCCGGCTGCCCCCTCCTCCTCCTCGCACTGTTCCTCGCGTAACTGCACAGAGCGCACACACGACACAAGCGCGGTCGTCACACATGGTAGACGTACACGGAAGGCGCGAGTTCCCGGTCACCCGGCACGGTCGGTGGAACACCCCGGTGGTGAGATGTTAATTATCTCGCCTGGTATACAGGAGATTGTGGACTTGATCCGGACCGTGCCGCTTGTTGTATATATGGAGTCTGCGTGTGTCTCCCCGTGGTCACGTGGATTTTTCTCTCCGGGCCCTCTGGTTTTTCCCCTCGACAATTAGAACCGATGTGCACTTAACAGTATTTGGCTACCGCTAGAAATTTCGACGCGATAAGCCACTTCCGCTGAGCTGTCTTTTGTGGCAACTGGTCTGATAATTATCGACGCGAGATTGTTCCATCGACAGGGGTCATTGCAGGACCTCCTGGCTTTCCAAGCCGCTGCTGCACCTCCCCCGCCGTGCGATGCGATAAGAAAGCACTCCCCCTCCCCCCCCCAGTGGCATCTGTGGGTGATGCATCCACCACAGCAACCGGCAACTAACTTGTAGTCCTGCTCAACCAGAGCGATACATGCTCTGATACGTGCATCGTCTTAGACCAGAGAACGCCAAAAGATGAAACTGTGCAAACACCGGTGGTTAGACAAGGCCTTCTCATGTGCATACATTAAGATATCATGTTTGTTTGATACCTTGTAAAAGGTATCTATTTTGTGTTTGAACATCCTAATACCTCCCGTTTCATTGCCAGGATGGGTAAAGCCTATTATTGTTTCATCAATCAACAGTGGATTTGGAGAGCGTTTTACATGCACGCGCCCACTCTATAGAAACAGTGGGCCTATGTATCATAAAAAAAATCCCTTGAGAGCCTGGACTTGAACAGGGGGAAAGAGTCGGTAGCACGGATAGCTGGGGCAAGGGGAGTTCCAGACTGTGGGCACAGCAGAAGAAAAGAATAGTTGGACGGTACCTCCTGCAGACAGCCGTTGTCAATCCAGTCCTGACGGTGGCGGTCAAACCCACTGGAGCACCTGCAACGAGAGCAAACGCCCGCATCAGCTGGCGTCTGACACCATCCCCCCAACCCCACCCAACCCCCCCCCACATCCCTTCCCCACCCGCCCGCATCCCCCCTCCCCTTCCTCGCACCCGCTGACCCCCATCCCTGGCCCGCTTCTCCATCCAGGCATCCCACGACACAGGAGCTCGGAATGTTGTTTTCCTGCAACCCGTGGAGTCTCTAGCGGGCCCACAGCCGGTGGCACTGGTTTCTACAAGCGCAGGGCGCAGCGGTCGCTTGGCCTGGATATCCGAGGCAGACTTCTTGAGCTCCTCACAGGAGGCGGCAGCGAGTAGAGGCTCGTCTCCCTGTTTACAGCCCCCGGAGACGGTGGTGGAAATTTCACATTCCTCATAGCAGGACACAGCCGCGGGCGACTTTCAACAGCACTGTCCCTCATTCTCGTGACCCAGATGGACGACGAGGAGGAGGAAGGAGCGTTGAGTGAACCCTGGGCGAGGAGTTGAACTCGCAACATTTCCAATCGGGAGCCACCCAGCCGCACCACAAAGATGCAAAAAGGAAACCCAGGACATCTGTGGATTTCTCCAGGATAAATTAAGATTCTGAAACCCCACGAAATCTGCTACAGAGAAGTTCGCGACATGGTAGCCAATGCTACATTTTATCATTTTTCCCCACTCAGATGCAATTTAGCTTAAATTAGTAAAAAAGTCATTGGGATCTACAGATGAACTGTACCTTACAAATGTAAATACTAAAAACCGCATTGAGTAACATGATGTGTTTTTACAGTAGACATTGGCTAACTGGGCTGAGACTACAAACTCAAACCCTTGAGAACCCGGTTTACATCACGGGAGGCCGAAATCAAGGATTTGGACGCAGAATCTCAGCAACGTTGACTGCGAACCATTAACCACACGATTAACTAACTGACAAAAAACTATATTTTTTTTATCAGGTAAGGCCCACTGAGCTATATAGCTCTTTTTCAGAAGTGACCTTGCCACAAATGAAAGCTCAATGAAGTGGCTTATCATGTGGAAATTCATAGCAAAATATACTAAATGCATGTTTCTAAAATGTGGAGGGAAAAAACGGAGGACCCGGATAAAAAAAATTCACGCGACCACAGGGAGAACACGCAAACTCCAAATATACACCAGCAGGCGTCACAGGGTCGGGATCGAACCCACGACCTCCTGTACACCAGGCGAGGGAAAAAAAAACACTGGCCATCGTGGTCACGGTGGTTAAATGATCCCAAGGACTCGCACGGCATTGCGGTGCCAGCGGTGGTGCGGGTCATCCAGCAGTGGAGCAAGCTCACCTCTGGAGGTGACCGCACCAGCTGCAGTTGAAGCTGGTCTGGGCGGTCAGGCAGCCCTTGCAGCTGGTGTACTGCAGGCACGCTGCGGGGGCGAGGGGCGGGGGGGGTACAGGGTGGCGGTGAGCGGTATCTTTCTGTTAGCCATCCAAGTATCGAATTTAAAGTTGCAACCCGACACTGGGAACGTGACAGCGTCACGTGCGGGAAGTCGGACGATATCGCCACTGCAGCAGAGAGCCAATGGGCTCGCTCGCACCGTACACACGGACAGATGAGTAAAGTATGCCAGTAAGGGGACAATCTGGCGATGTGGTTTACCTAATTAAATATGTTACGAGTCATTTGTCCCAATTGGGCAAATTTGAACCATGACACCGGCAATGAAGTGGACGGCGTGTGGTTTTTATGGTGAATACATCCGCCAGTATTAACCAGGGCGACGACCGGGGATCGAACTGTGAACGTCTGCTACAAGTCCCGAACGCGCTACCGCTGGGCCACATTGGGGCAGCGTGGTGGTGAGATGTTAACTACATCGCCTGGAATGTAGGAGGTCGTGGGTTCAATCCCAATCCAGACGCCTGTAAATTTGGAGTTTGCGTGTCTCTCCGGGTCCTCCGGTTTCCCCCCCCCCACATTTAGAATCAACATCACGTGTTTAGACCATTTGGCTGCTATAAATTTCCACATAGGTCCCTTCATTGTAGTCTCATTTTATTTGTGACCAGGTCGCTTCTGAAAAATAACTATGTAGCTCAGTGGGGCCTTAACCTGGTAAAATAAAATAGCCGAGTTTTTGGTTAATAAAATATGACCCACAATGCACTGTAGCTTGGGAGACAGGTGCGCGTGTCGCTGCCAAGAACGCGGGGGGACTGAAGGGCGGAGGGATGGAGGGAGAGCACTCACTGGGGAGTGGCGCCATCTCGATGACGGTCAGGTTGGTCACCTTCACCACCTCGAGCTCCACGCGGTGGTACTCGTAGATCGTCCGGCGCCGCAGAACTGGGGGCACAGCGCGCGCTCGCATGTATGTGTTGAACTTCTTTCGCACCACCGTACGCAGCCAACCATGCTAGATCGGAGCTGCAGGGGAAAGACGAACTAAACGCATATCAGTTCGAGAAATTCGTTTCCAATCAAAATTATTTAAAAGTGCACAGTTGCAGTGGCTTCCCGAATATCGGAAGGGAGAGTTGCGTTCCACACGGCCACAGAAGCACGTCTGAAAGCGCGCGATGCGGTGACCGCCTTTGTGCGATGGTTAGCCAAAAGCCGCTGCCGCGAGGATGACCGGAGATCGCTCGATGGTTTATGCTCCCGAACGAGACCGGCAAGGTATTGTGGTTCATTTGAGGCAAGCGCTTCGTGTTTGACGAGTGCGACCTTTAAAAACGCTCGGCGCTCACCACATCTGACGAGTTGCCAGCGGCGGTAATCACAACATAAGTGTTCATTTTAATTAAAGAAAAAAAAATGAAACCAATTTTATTTAACCGGACTGCGCCATTGGTGTAATCAGGTGAAGAGTCCCTCCACAGAGCTCAGTGCTTTACCATTCCTGTGTCTATGTCCCCCCCCTACAGCCCGGAAGTCCCTCATCCAGCCGTGGATTGACAAATGGATAACGGACATTCATCGCCATCAGCACGTTAAGCGAAATGTGCAGTCGCCCATCCCCTCCCCAACCAATTAGGAATTGAATGATGCACGATTCCATCGATGATAGCGAATCCCACGCTTGGGGGAGGCGCGGGGGGACGTACTGGGCAGTGCGCCGAGACTCTCCACCACCATGAAGGCGTCCGACAGGCCGACCTTCACCGGGTGGTTGTCTCCCTTGATCCTCGTGACTGGGACGGGGATCTGGGGGTGGGGGGGAAGGAGAGTCCAGTGGCTGTTTAAATTCCTTATCGTATCAGCGCCTTATTCAAAAGGCAATTCACAACAATTATACTTATGATGGTGATTGAAATAAAGAGCTAGCGTTGTTGTTAAAAGTGGTGGTGTGGTTGTGCAAAACAGGTGGGAGTGGTTACAGTAGGGTTGGGATTAAGGTTAGGGGTTGTGGAAGTGATGTGGGTAGGCGGTTGTGATAGGGGTAGGCCTGGTCATAGCAGGGGGACCAACGCATGGAATAGCCAGAGCAGGATGAACTCGGGAGGAGAGATGGCTTGTGGGCATCAGGAGCTTCAGACTCCAGAGGTCTCGCGGGGCACCGCAACCCTCCTCCGTACCAGAGAGGTCACGTGACTGAATGCAGCCAATTTAAATGCCGAAAAAAATGTTAGAACTATCGTTTTTACAACTTTTGTCACGATCCCAAAAGGGGTAATTATCCCACAATGACCGCCACGGCGGGATAATGATCCCCACGTGAACTCTATTCAATACAGTAGGGGGCAGCACTGGTCGGGTCATAACATTGCAGAGGGTTGCCAATTATTGAAAAACAGACGGACCGTGCAGACTGCCCATAGACACAGTGCAGGCAGATGGGTTACCGGACAAACACACGGGATATACACTGGAAGACACGGGGCAGACAGACAAATACCGACAGATGCAAAATAACAAAAGATGCTTAGACGGACAACAAACCAAACAAACAGGGCATACGGACAATGGCTAACATATATTGACAGACACTGATATATATATTCAATGACAGTTGGACAAAGGACACACTGAAAACCTACACACATGGACGCTACGACAGAGCAACCCAACGGACAGGCAGAAGGACATGTACAGAAACGGACGTAAAAGGTGCAGACACTGGCCTGTGATGAGACACATCGACAATGGCACAACACGACAGACGGACTGATGGTGAGACAGACGGTGGGACAGACGAACAGACAGTGGGACGGACGGTGGGACGGAGAGTGGACATACGTCCTTGTAGGCGAAGACGATGCGGCCGTCGCTGTGCAGCGCGGCCTGGAAGGTGAAGCTGCCAGCGCCGGGGTTGTCGTGCAGGTGCACGCGGTCCCACTGCACCACGAGTGCCGTGCCTGCACGTGCCCAGGGATGCACGACAAGGCGGGGGAGCAAGCAAAACACTCAAGTGACCAATTTGAGGATTTGACAGCTGGTCCTCCTGCCCCCCCAAACCCTCTTTCCCACCCCACCCTGCCATGCAGAGTAACGCTGACGGCAGCATTTGCCTACTGCCACCGCTGGGAGGTAGCTGACATTGAGACATCTCGAAATTATTTGGACAATGCATTTCCCTATTCTTCTTGATGCACCAAGCAAATTCCTGCATCTCGTTAAACAGTTGTTTCAACTGCACGCTCATCCACAGAGAGAGAGAACTGCAGCCCGAACGATCGCGACGGCCGTGCGTTTGACGGAACCCGCTCTTTTTGCCCGGCTCCTTGCGACACAAAGAGACAAAGAGCGTCGGGGACGGGAGTCTGCGGTGGGCACCTAATAAATAAAGCGATGAATGAACGGGTGCACGAGTGAACACGTCAACGAATTAATGAGAGTGGCGAGAGAGACGGAGAGAGAGAGAGCGACTAGGAGTGATGAGTGGGTTGGATGGTTGGAGAGATGCATGGAGAGGTAGATAGGATGGGGGTGAGGGGAGGAAGGGTGGCATTAGGGGGGGAGGGGCAGACAGAATGATCTCCTGCAACACAGAAAAGGTGGTAATGGCCCGGAGAATAACACAATGTAACACAATTAGCATGTATTTATACAGTAATGCCAAAATGACCACAAAAGATTTAGGAGTAATTTTTCGTGATTGTTCCTCCCCACAGAGAACTCGGTCCACTGTGGCCAGTCCTGCCTGTGGTAGTGCGCCTTGGTGTAAATCTTTTGTAGTAATTTTTGTATCATTTTCGTATAAATACATGTTAATTTTGATTCACAGTTTTTTTCTGACTACGTGAACGGAAAGATAAATTTCTAAATGTCACTGTCCAATTGTTTCCCTTCTACGTGACTTTACCGAAAGAACCAAGAATATGAATCCCTGCAGTAACGAAAGCTTTAAATCAAAATCACTGTCCTGGTCACAAAAGCAAAGTTTGTGGGGAATAATAACCATTTTCTGTACTTTTGAGGCATAAGCAATTTGGAAATAGCACTTACTACCCAGGAGCAAATTTATTTATTTATTACAGTGTAATCCACGCAATCACAGAGAGAATATGCAAACTTAAAATATACAGGTGTCACGGTCTGGATTGAACGCACGACCTCCTCTATACCAGGTGAGATAAATATAATCTCGCCACTGTGGGTTTCCAGAAAACACTATCGTGATTGGCTACCATAATTCAGACCGACCCCAGTGACGGAATGAGTGGACCGATGCACAAACGGATTGATGGGGAGGCCCCAACTGTCAGCCTCTGACCAGGAGTTTAACCCACAATGCTCTGCCCGAGAGCGACGCTCATCTAACCTCCAGACATCAAATTATAAAACATCCACGAATGAGCCGAGTAAGCGAGCGAGCGAAACACACAATCATGAGCTAGTGATATCAACTCTAAAATGAGCGACTGAATAACATGTGTTCAGCATCATCAACAATCAGGGATTCCCACACATGCAACTAAAAGTGTGCATCGTGAGCATAGGCAAGGATTTTAATCGATGACTCGCTGCCGCGTTGTTACAAGCCGAAGATTCGTGAGCTAAACACAACAAGCCGACCCCGGGCTGTGCCTCCACACAAATAAAACTGCGCGTGTCAATCCATCGACCTCCTGGCTTCCCCCGAGCCCCCCTGTCGTCCAGCAGACTCTGGACCGGTTTCGACCTTCTGGGCCTCAATCAGCAGTCGGCATCCTTAAAACAAATGCTGCTCAGCTGCCAGCTGTTACAAACAAGGGCACTGCGTATAAATAACGCGGGTCCTGTTCAACGTGAACACTCGTCGTGGAAACCACTCTGCGGTTGGATTTCGACGTCGCACAAATGATCGACCGAGAAAGCGAGCAAGCGTTGGCGGTGGCGGCCACTCGTGCCGCCGTTGCGATGCCGCAGCGCCGCGCGTCCGTTCCCCGCGCCCTCACCGTTGTCGAAGTATCGCACGGTGGACTCCTTGGAGATGCTGGGGTCAAAGTTGGCCATGAGCGGCGCGATGTACTGGGTGGCCGTCAGCATGCGGTGGATCACCTCCCCCGTGTAGATGAACCCTGCCGGACGGGCGGACGCGAGCATTAAGGGACAGCTCACCTCGACCGCTGACACGCGGAGGAGCGGTAAATACCGGCGCCGACATATTTAGACATGCGTCGTGTGACATCTCCGGACAGTACGAGTGCCAGCCCTCTGTCAATCCATGACTGGACGGAAGGCCACAATGGTTAGAGTGGCGCTGGTCAAAGCGATTTTGTCATATTGGTGGGGCGGGGGGGGGTAGACAGGACCGGTTAAGATATCACCCGCCACTAATGTTAACCGTGGCCCGGTAAGGCCCACCGAGCTTATTGGCTATTTCAGAAGCGACCTGGCCACGAATGATAGCTCAAAGAAGTGGCTTGTGTAAATTTACAGCAGCCAAATACTCTAAATGAAAGTTTATAAATGTGGAGAACCCAGGAGAAAATTTCAACGCAACCACAGGGAGAGAAACATGCAAACTCTAAATATAGAGGCGTCAGGGTTGGGATGGAACCAATGAGCTCTTGTATACCAGGCGAGATAGTTAACATATCACTACCGTGGCACCAAATGCACCGAGCGCTAGACACGCAAAGTATTACACACACGGCAGGAGGTTGACGCAGGGGTCTGCGGGACACATCCATGCATATGGCCTCCTCTTCCCAAGTCTCACAGAGTGACAGGCGCGAAAGGATTGGCAGCTATTTGACAGATCCAGGATTGGGCGGGTGGGTGGGTTGACAAATCTGTTCCCGCGCCCCGCCCCTCCAGTCATCACACCGCTCACAAGGATGCAGGTGATGTCGCGGGCAACGGAAGTGATGGTACATGCTGGTTTATCTGTGCCAGTTTGGCGACTTCCAAAAGCATCTACTAAGGAAGACCAGCGAGATTTTGTTAGCTCGCGGCTACTGCTGTAGAGCAATGACGGGTGGCTCCCAGCCACCAAGCCGGGTGGGAAAAAAAATGCTTACTCAAGTATTTACTTTGCCCAACTATGACGGGCAATAAAAACAAACTGTTTATTTACCCACTCAAACACTTCAGCCAGAGAACAGAACCCGATGCTTACTTTCATGACCTCAGAGCTAAACATTAACCCAGTGCTGTAAGCTATACCACAGGGTAATATGCTGGGGTTTATATCGCCTAAACAAAAAGAAAGGATTGTGGTCAGTATCACCTGGGACTGCAAATGCTATTGGTTTCCAGCATGGGCAGTACCCACCACATATCCTCTCCACGTTTCATATACAAAACGAAAATACTATCCAAACGTATTCCGACATCTTCTTTGACCTTTTCATAAGAAAAGCTACTCTACGGTGACAATGCTTCCGTATATAGCTGGTGATCCAATGAAAAAAAATTAATCGATTTTTTTAGCGCAAGCCACCCTGGGTGGTACCAATAAGCCATTTTTGGGCCACCCTCACCACTGAAATGTGGTAATCCTACTGCACCATAAACCACAGAACTCACGAGGGACTCCCCCCAATGTAGTGAGCCCATGGTCCCCAGCACCGGTCAGACGACTGCACCACTCACAATCCAATCACATTAATGTTGTTCACATTTTGTTGTTGCTCAATTTGGCCGAATAAAAAAAAGTGGGAAAAAAATACAACTGGAGAGAACGAATCTAGGCCGCTTCCCGCTGCTGCCGTGAACCAGGGCACCAGACGTCGCCCCCACGGTGGGGTGGACGCTGGGTTTTGTTTTGTCCCTCCGCTTGCACGTGCGCCCACGTACGCACGCGGGCGCCCGCGGTGACACGCTGACCTGACACGCTGACCTGCGCGGGGAGTCTGACACGCTTTGACAGGTCGCGACGAGCGCATAAATTCACACCCCCCCCTCCCCAACTCGCCCACCCCACATCACTTCCTCTTTCCCTCCCAGCCTTTACGAGGCCACTGGGCCCATGTATGGATGTATGTAGAACCTTTCGCACCGTACGTAGCCAGTGGCGCCAATCGGAGGTGCAGGGTTGGGGGGGGGGGAAGGACAACAAACTAAACACAAAAAGCAGTTTGAAATAAATAAAAATTCCATCAACGATTTTCAAGCGCATAGCTCCCAATGGCTACCTAATGTCGGAAGGAAGAGCGTCAGTAGAGTCCTCCATTTATTTCCATGACACACACGGGGGGAGTGGGGGGGTGGGGGGGGCGCCGGTGATGCGGCCCCAGCCGGCAAGCATTCGGCACTTGCTCCGCAGGTTCGCGGTTTAAATCCAGCAGTAGGCCGCACCAGTTATCATCGTAAACTACGCCCGCTTCACTCGGTGGGCGTTAGAGATTCCCGTGCCAGCGTCGTGGTCAAAATTTGTATGCATGTAGAATTTATTTTGCACCGTTTGTAGCCAACCGTGCTAAATTGGAGGTGCGGGAATTTGAAAAGTTTGCCTGCAACTTACGGAATTGGAATTTACGCATGGAGACTTCTGCCCCTACTGTGGAGCTACTGCAGCCTGTGATACAAAGCCCCCCCCCCGGCCCCCCGTAATCACCTTGCTTTATGAAAAAATGGCATGAATCCCAATAGCATTCAATTATTAATATTATTATTGTTATAATCCTTTAGGAGCTGCCCCTCGTGGCGAGAGACAGATGACCAGGCCAGAAGCCCACTTGAGTCTCACCCGCAATATGCCCGCTCTATCAGACCTCAGAAGCAGAGCGACATTGAGCCTGGAGAGTTGCTTTTGGATGGGCGACTACCTACCCACACGTCAAACTGGCCCTGTAGGCTGCGTGCCTACATTGTGGGGAGCGCAGGGAGATCCATTGTTGAAATGTACTATGCTCCGCAGTTCAATAGCACCCCCCCCCCGCCCATCCTCCGAGGCCCGCTACATCCTCATCAAGGAGTGGATTAACGAAACGGTACGTACGTGTACACACAATGCACAAGAGCCCGCTGGGGATTAGCGTCTACAAACACTGGGCGGGGGGGGGGGGGTCGCATGGGGAGGTGGGTCGTGTGGTCACCTCCAGTTGCGATGGTCACCTCCTCCAAGTGGTGTCCGTAGAAGAGGAACGGGAACGACAGATTCACCCGCTGATGGGAACACACGCCACGGAACACACGTCACTTATTGCTCGCGAGTGGGAATCAAACTCCTTGTCGCTGGATTCGTAGCGCAGTGCACTAAATTACTATGATGCTGTGACTCACAACAACAATAACACAAAGACAAGGATAAAATACACACACAGCGGCACAAATTTATACTCGCAGAGCCATGCAAACAAATGCAGTAGACTTTGGATTTAAAGCTTTCGTGACTGCAGGGATTCCATATTCTTGGTTCTTTCGGTAAAGTCACGTAGAAGGGAAACAAAATAATAAAAATATAAAACAATAAAATGCTCAAGACGTTTCGACTGCAATACAAGCAGTCATCATCAGGTGTGAAAACAACAGCAAAAAAATGACATTTTTTTTTGAAAAACCGCCACTTTTTAAAAAAAATTCTTGCTGTGGTTTTCACACCTGATGATTGCTTGTGTTGCAGTCGAAACGTCGTGAGAAATTTATTGTTTTATATTTGTATTATTTTATTGTTTCCCTTCTACGTGACTTTACCGAAAGAACCAAGAAAATGCAGTAGACTTTGGATTCATATTGCATCTCAATTCAACGTTTTTTTTTTATATGCAAAGACAAAAATCCATCGTGTAGTGAACACAAACTGTCGGGGCAAGTATTGTTAGCAAGCACCAGCGTACGTGTGCATGTGTACACGTGTACAAGTATGGATGTGCACTCGCTTGCCGAATAATTTAACCTGCAGGCGAGAACCCTACAGACCAGGATAAGAGTCGCATTCACAAGAGCAAAACAAATATAAAACGAAGCCCTGTCGGTACAGCAACGAAGCACAAGAAATAAAAAAAACATTGCACAAACAGAACGGTGCACACACGCTCAAGTGAACGCGTGTGTGCATACCACGCGCACCTGGGGGCGGTGTGCGCGCTGCGCTGGGCAGGATGCCGTGCGCGTGAACACGTGTATACGTGCGCCTCACCGCGGCCTGCCGGTGCGTGTTGGAGAGGATGCCGTGCACGCGCACGTGTTGGTTCTGCATCTTGTCGATGTTGACCCAGAGCTCTCGGCCTCGCGGGTCGGCGAGCCGGTAGGTTCGCGAAGTGTAGTAGCTGTGGTTGTCCTGTCCACGCACGGGGGAGCGCGTTTGCACCGAATAATAATAATAATAAAAAAACGTCCATCATTCCTCCCATTCATCCGTTCACTGGCACGGGGCTTAAAATTCCTGGGTGGTGAAACCCTCGACATTTTTCAAATACTTTACAACGCAGCCACGCTTCCTGTGCAAGTCACCGCGGCCGCGGCGGCTGTGGCGCTCGAGAAGCGACGTCCCGGACCGTGGGAGACAAGGCGGCCTTCTGTGCGAAAACCGGACGCACGCAACGCCATCGAGGTTGGCTGCGAGATCCCGCCGGTGAGGTGGGGGGGGGGGGGGGGGGGGCCTGCGGTGGCTGTTCGCCACGCACTTTTTAACCCAACGCTCTGCGCGGCACATGAGCATTGGCGGCGTGGAGGATTTTTCGGCCAAGCGGTGATTTTCCACCGGGGCTCGGGGCCAGAGATCCACCACTCTGGAGGCGGCGGTCGAGAGGGAGGAGGGAGGAAGGGGGGCAGGCAAAGCGCTGTTTTTTAGATGGCAGTGCAGCAAGTGGATTCTTGTACCCGCCTGTGTGGACCTGTGGCTAGGGCACTAGTATGGTTACCTGTTCTTTAGTTGGCTAGAGGTGGGGCTAGTACGAGAGAGTGGCTGGACTAAGTGGATCAGCTGTGGCGACGAGAGCGTCCCTGGCTGGGAGGATTCTGAGTAAACCCTGATGATGCGCATTGCCGATGACCTGGCCACAGCCACGGGCAGATACACACCCTTCCCAACGGGGCAGTCATCATTTAAAATCGCCGCGTCGTTCGACCGACGATCTAAGCGACAGAAACAAAATCCGTTTTCAACGCAGCAGGATCGGGCGCTACGAGCGGCGTGGGACGCAGCTGCGCACGGACGGACGGACGGACCCATTCGCATCGCGTGGCGTTCCAGCTGGCGTCGCCACACGCACAACTGCGCTAGCTCAGGGCCTGCTGGCTTGAGCGGCACGAGCTGTGGGTTTTTTTCAGAGCAACTGCGCAAACAGCCCTGCTCTCAAATTTGTTTCTCGCGTAATATTCGTTAAACTTCACCTGACTTGTTGCTGATGGGCGTCACACGGTGAAGGTTACATTCGGTGGCGAGATGTTAACTGCCTCGCCTTGTACGTAGGAGGTCGTGGGTTTGATCCCGACCCTGGCGCCTGCTGTATGTTTGGAGTTTGCATGTCTCTCCCCTGTGGTAGTGTGGATTTTTCTCCGGGTCCTCCAGGTCCTCCGGTTTTTCCCCTCCACATTTAGAATCGACATGCGCTTAGAGTATTTGGCGGCTGTGAATTTTCGCATGATAATCCACTTTGTCGCGCTATCATTTGTAGCCAGGTCGCTTCTGAAAGACAGCTATATAGCTCAGTGGTTCTTACCTAGTAAAATAGAAAAAAACATTGTTTATAGTACTTTCGGAGCTCTCGTAGAGCAGCACCATCGACCCGCGTGCGAAGGGCATTTGCTGGTAGGAGGAATAGGAGGATATCACTGAAAACTGCTTTTGAGGTCGCTTCGAGTGACCGCTTAATTTATGAAAAATTTTCAATCTTCTGCTGGATGAAGGCTTCCCCCTCCCCCACAATGTTAGCAGTGGTCCAAAATTGAACTCGGCTCGCCAGAGTTCATTGCACCATTGTAAGTAATGTGTGCGTATTTTATTAAAACTCTCACCACTGTACATAGCCAAGCACGCCAAGGACAAACTAAACAGCAAAAAGCGCAGTTAGAAGGAAATTCGTTTCAATCTGGATGTAAAAGTGCATAGCTCCAAAGGCTTCCTAATATCAGAAGGAAAAGCATTCCAGACGGTCACAGCAGCATATCTGAAAGAGTGCGATGCAGTGACCGTCTTTGTTCGATGGCCAGCCAAAAGCCGCTGCGAGGATGACGGGAGTTCACGTTATGGTCCATATGCTCCTTGGCGAGATCGGCAAGGTACTGTGGTGTGCAAAGCACTGCGCCACCGCTCCACCCAACACTACAGGATTTCGATTTAAACGGCCTCCACTCCCACGGCACGTGGAAAAATTAGGTTTCAGAAGGGCTTGTTAATGTTCGCTTGAGAGTCAATGTCATTAAAATGCAGGGCAAACACATCATTATTACAAGAATCTGAAGACTTCCAATTTAAATCCCAAAAAAACAAACAAAATAAATTTATTTATTCAGCGTAAAAAAAAAGAAAGCGGAATAGAATCAACGCGTTTCATGCCTGCAGTGTTTACCATTTATAAGCTAATAAATATTGCCACGATCTCTACACATCTAAAAAACGGCATGCATAAACACAGAACGTTGAGCCGAGGAATGTGTTGAAACGTCCATAATATTGGGGTTTCAATCCCAGCAGTACAAACATCTCTGTTTCTCTTGGCTCCGAGTTCGGGTCGCGAGCCTTCCCGAGCCTTTTGCCGAGGCCTCGATCCCCACACCCCTCCCCCAAAAAAGGCATGTGTATTTGAGCTCTGCAGACTGTACAAAAGACAAGGAAAGCATTTCCTGCTGTTTCAACTTAACATATGTTCAGCTTAAAGCCAAAAAAATGAATTTCTCATTTAAAAAAAAAAAATCCCCACTTGGACGAGCGGTTTTGCCTGTGCCGTGGCAGCGCGCTGCGTCACCAAACTAAAATGAACGCCGCCTGTTAAATGCAGGTTCTATAGAACGCCAACTGACTTCAATCACTGAATAATCCACAGGTTTGTTTTTGTTACTTAAAACGAGTCTGCAGTTTTCTTTTCTAGCAGCTGCATTAAAAGGAACAGCATTGCAACGTTTCATTGTTAATGAAATCCCATGCTTGTGGTAAGTGACAATGAACAGGCAAGGGGGTATTGCCAATAGCAATGACGCTAATAGGCTCTTAATCCGTCGCCCTAAGGGACTGCCAAGGCAAGGCTCCCACCCCCCACCCCCCCATCAGAATTTCACCGTTAAATCCATGCAACCTCGGTTTTGAGTTCACAGAATGAGCAGTTCTAAAAAAAGTTAGGCCAACTCGCAGTGAACATTTCAAAATTATCCAAATCTTAATGCGGTGGCTTGTCCAATTGGAAGGTAATAGTCTACGGTTTGAAACAAACTGGTTCATTTATGGAGGTCGACGGTTCAACGCACTACACAAAACTAAAATGGCACCACCACCTGGCTAGCGCGGATTCCAATGCTTTCTTGCCCAAGTACATCTGACACAGTGGAGATTTTATTCGAGCAAACTGTGCCCTCCTCATCAATTTAAGACGACGGGTTTTTTCCCCCATAAGAAGGAGGGCTCAATGTTTGACGCACCATGCCCAGGTAACAATCTACTTCACAAATCGTACCTTCATCAGTGGTTGTTGTCAACCCTTTTTTGTGCAACTACTATACTCCCACTTGTTGAATTTTATTTCAACCGAGTATGTATCCCCGCCCCCCCACCCCCCCCCCCCTTGCTTGACCCAACACAATTGAGAAAAAAAGTATGAATAATGAACATCAATATTTTAACCAATTGTCAATTGCGAGGTAAATCAACTGGCTGCGAGTAACTGCAAGCGAATAAAAAATAAACTAACGGACGCTCTGCGCGTGTAACGTAATATGTCCGCACTCGCTGGTCACTCCTGGAAACCACATTGTTCACCATCAATGTGTTCATAAAGGCCTTTTATGTCGTTCTAGCTGCTTACAATATAGAGTCACATTTTAGCGCAGTTATTTTATAATGGCAGATTTATATATGATTATTCACACATTTATAAATAACCTCGCGTAACCCCCCTGGGGACATTGGCACGTACCCCCAGGGGTCCACGTACCATTCCCACCCCCTTATATAATGATTGGCCACATCTCCAAAGGTACGGGGAATAAAAAAAATAAAAAAATCCATGACCCAATGTGGCTGGGGAAGATATGGAATTCTCACCCCAGGGGTCAGATCCAATGGTGTCCCCCTACTCCTCGAATTCTTGTCGTCTACCCTATGGAGATCTTTGGATCGGCTTCTTCCAAGCACAGGCATACCTCTTATCGCTTCGTTTCGACATAATGCTCTTTGTACCGGAGGAGAATTACTGCGCGGATCAGCCCATATGGAAGAAAGGAGACGTGGCCTTGCCCGCAGGGGCGTGCCTTTGCCCACATATGGTCTTGCGGAAGCCGAATAGAGGTGTCTGTTGTATCGAACTGATCATAGTCAATCCGACAGCCACGTTAGAGTATCGATTCACCGAGGGTTCATCGCTGCGTCGATTCATTGGCTATCCACAGATCGAGCGATCCCATTGGTTAGTGTGGCTTCCCGCGGAATGTGTGTTTAGGGCAGACGGTGGTTAATCTTACGCAAGCTGCAACCAAATGCACCGGTCAGTACATAACTCATCGTATTTTGTTCACGTCATTGTCAAAAGTTATTATATTAACTTATAAAGTGCTCTAATACCTTCATCATGTGTACAGTATCATTAAGGCTATTACCAAAACCCCAATGAAGCCATCACGTAGCACTCGTGGGTAAAAAAACAGTGCTGCTAGTACACATCTCCACTGGAAGCATGTTATGACCTCCTATAGCGCTCTTTTGCATAGCACTCCATTGAACAAGAATGCATTGAGCACTATAAGAGGTATGTCTGTACTCCGAGGTCAACACTCATTTCCTGGGGCTGATGGGGCCTACGCCACTGCAGCCCCCAAGCTTCCGAACGCTTTGCTAATAAGCTAGTCGGTGGCTATATTTAAGTCTGTCTTGAAAACTCACCACTTTGAAGTGGCCTTTAGCCCCCGCGTAGCTCTGATCGTTTACCCTGCAGGTTCCGTTTATTTCCTTGGTTTCCATACGTGGCGACACTTTGGCATCTATGAATGTAATGCGCCACTTTAACAAATTGTAAAAACAATATTATTATTATTACAACAGCCGATCCATCAATGCTGACTGGCGCATCGGCGGCGCTTCTGTCGCGAGGGCCGAGCGGCCGCCATACGGGAAAAAAAAAAAAAATCGCAACATTTGATATCAGGAGGTTATCCCATGAGCTATAAAAGCTCTTTCACCCCCCCCCCCACCCCACAGAGTGTCCAGTACCTTCAAAGTGAGCGGTGCCCGTTTGTCGGCGCCGTCCCTGGCCTCTCGCCACCCCAGGGGTCTTCGTTGTAGTCGTCCACGTCGTTGACTGCGGTGCTCAACGGCTGCGATGCCGACGCCGATCGTTTGGGCAGGGGGCCTCACGTCCCCTGGCGGCCCTAGCGCAGCGACGCACCCCCCGGGCTGCCCCGACCGCCACAAACGCCAAGCCCTAGCGCGGAGACAGAGGAGCGAGCGGTCCAGGGGAGCGCAAGAGGTTACGGAGTGCGCTAGCGGTCAGAAGGGCGCGAGAGGTCACGCACGGTGCACGGTCACGTCGTGTACGTGCATGGTGCTTCACGGTGGCCGTCGGAGGGTCTCGTACTGCGTGAAAGTCACGTGGTGTCATGTATTTCGCAGGAAGGCTCGCAGATCACGCAGTTGTGCGATGTCCCTTGCACATGACCAGTACCCCGTGGTGTTAAGATCGGCCTTGTGGATGAGGCTCGTGAAGGATGCTACTGGGCAGTTGGATGGAGCCGCCCTCTAGCAACAATGGAAGGCAGAGGAGCGATACTCACAACGAGTTGGAGCGCCGGGCGGCTAAAACACAGCAAGTCGGCACAGTAGGGGGGGTCACAGGTGGTGCATCGGCCAGTCATCTCAGTCAACCCATGGCACCTGGGTCTGTCCGTGACCTCCTGCCAGCAGGCGTTCAACACTCGTGGCCTTAAACTGACCATAGCCTGGCACAAGCACCATGGTGATGTCACCGTCACTTAGTGGCGAATTTCGGTTGTTGTTCAGGTCTTTCATTTGGTTCTCGCTAACATCACTTGCCCCAACACTATTAAGGCTATACTGGGGGATCATTTTTGTCTCAAATGTCCCATGCACAGTTACACATGGCACGGACAGGTCACAGAATGCCGTGCAGGTTCAAGCAACGCTCCGCACAGACAGTAAAGAGTCCGTAGCTATTTCTGCCATCTACAGACCACCGAGGCCATACACTGCAATGAACACCATTTTGTACCAAGTCAACAGTGATCATTAATAAAAATCAAGGCTGGGTCCCACCATAGGAACGTGGAATTTCCCTCAACTGGCCCAGGAGCTGCCGACATAGCCGAAAACCCATCAAAATGTTGTTTGAGCGAGCGGAGAGCCACACTGAGTTTGACTCGACTCCAGCAGTGTAACGACCGTGAGGGTAGGGAGCGCCTTGGCCCCCCCACCTGCCTGGTAAAAGTCTATGAGCTGGGGGCCCCCTTGACAAATCACCCTGTCGCTCGAGTAAAAGAACATTCGACGTAGAACTCCGTTTTTGGGATAGTTAATTTGATTAGGTACACGTCAATTATATTGCAGAGAGGTGCTCCGGAGCTGTAGTGGCTGCATTATGCGAAGACGGAGCGCCCCTACCTGCGTTAAATGTTCACGACCGTGAGCATAATGATGCGATTAGGCGAGTGTCGTCGGGATATACAATAGCCTCGGTGCGACCCTGTGCGACAAATCAAATATTGTGGCCCCATCTGACAGATTGCCGAACCCCCCCGAGCTGATAACGTCGTACTAAGCCACTGCTCAACTCGCAGAGGGCTGTGGGCCCCCTCTTCCTCAAACGTCCACGTTCACACATCCCAAACAACCCGCCCCCTCACTTCCACCGCCATCAGATTCTTCCTTAAATTTAGCTGTCGATGCTATAACAGGACGAGAGTGAAACGTCAAAACTAAGACATAGGACGAATCTAAAACGGACTCCTTTGGCAGATTCCAATTCCTCAGCGCATGGCTTCATCTCCAGGCTGCAGAGCACCACACCAGACCAACCCAGCTTTCAACGACGGCCATCAAGCATCATAATCCATCATCGTCCGTCATCGGCAGCGGCTGTCAACAACTCCACTGCTGGATGAAGGCCGTCGCCAACCCACACGGTCCCACGCTGTAACCATCCACCCAGCACCCACACATGAGCCGACCCCCATGAACCACGTCCATGATGAACCCCCGACATGAGCCAGCGGACAACCGCGCGTGCCGTAAAATTTGACGTCCGGTCAAAGTTTCGGGACTCACAATTCATTCCAGAATGGATTTAGATCTTCTGGTCCCGTTGGTTTCGGGGGTTGGTCAGTACATGCACGGGAGACCACAGGGCTTGCCAGTCTGCAGCAGGCATGGGGCTACAGGGCAAGATGGCAGCGCCGAGTATTTCACCCGTAACCCTCACCTCATGAACCCAGTAGGTTCCACCCCGCCCCCCCCCCCCTCAAAGTCCTCCCGATTTCCTACCAAACAGCCCACATGAAAAATAATTTAGACTCAGACTAAGGCTTTCTTGGGGAGATCAATTTGTTTACATATATATAGCATATAGCATACAATTAGTGTACGTTCTAGATTTGAAGTTTTCGTGACTGCAAGGATCCATACTCTTTGGTGCTCTCGGTAAAGTCACGTAGGCGAAAAATCAAATAAAAAAATAATCAATTAAATCACGACGTTTCGGGCACAACACAAGCGTCCGTCATCAGGTGGGACAACCACACCTACGTGACTTTACCGAAAGAACCAAAGCGTAATTAGCGTACGATTTGCAAAAATCCACTGTTCTATTTTACTTCTACATTGTCCGCCTTCACAAACCCCCCACTTTTCTGATCTCGTCGAAGGAGCATAAGCCGTTACACGTACCCCGGTCATCCTTGCAGTGGCCTATGGCCAGCCATCGAACAAAGACGGTCACTACATCGCGCGCTTTCGGATGCGCTTCTGCGGCCGTCTGGAACACTTTCCTTCCGATATTAGGAAGCCACCGGAGCTGTGGACTTTTTAAACCTAGATTATGACAACTCATTCCTTTAGAAGTGCTTTGTGTTTAGTTTGTCGTCCTTCCCCCTGCACCTCCGATGAGCACAGTTGCCTACGTATGGTGCGAAAGCACTTCGACATACACACGTACATGGACTCAGCAGCTTGATCAGCATAGTTAAGTATGGTCACTAACCAGAACAACTTTTGGGTCACTCTTGCAAATGAGACTATCCTGCCCTCTTGAGTTGTTACCCAGTACCAAAATATGAGAATAAGTTTTTCCCCTTTTATCTGTTAAACAAAACAGGTGTACTGGCAAAGGAGGTCCCATGATGTAGATGCTCACCCCGAGCTCTCATTACTCTGATAGTGCATTATCTTTGTGCTGTACGCCTTTTGGCGTCCTCTGGTCTAACACCATTTGAGACGACGTTCAAAAGAAAGCCGTCTCTGATGTGGACCAATCAGTTTAAAGACAATCCATATATTATCAGAGTATGTTTTTTTGTTTGCATTTTGACCACAAGTATTGTGGTCAATGTAGACATGATTCCTTGTGAAAGGTTTCAGTTTGGTGTTTTAACAACTTAACCTGTTTTGTTGCCAGATAAGCTCCTTTAAAAAAAAAAATAAACGTATTTATTAACAACTTCGTTTAACTCACGGTCGAGAAGTACGTCAATGGCGCCTGAGACACGCGGCGCTTGCTTTTTGTGCGAGCCGATTCCACAGTTTAGGGACCGCGGCGTTTTTGACCTACACAAATATATATAAATAACAAGGCGTCCATACAAAATGTTAATTGCTTTAAAGTAGCGAATTGATTAATTGATGCCGATTTGGATACTGGCATGCATCGTCACCGGATCTGAGTACGTGTGCAAAATGTGGAATTGATTGGACAACAGGAAGTGGATGAAACGTTGATTACAAGATTTGACCATGACAAAGCGGAATCAAGTAAAACCGTTGAATAAAGGGGAAAAACGTATTCTCAAAAAATCTTAATAGTTGGAAAAGCCAACAGGAAGTTCCGGCGCTAGTGTTTGGAATTTAAATATTTTTGACTGCACTGTGTTGCACACACTTGCCCTTTGTGGCATGTTTGTTTATTTTGGGATCGCTTGCCAAGGCCGCTGACAGGGCAATTGCGCCACCGCCACCAGCCGCCTGTTTCAGTCTCGCGTGCGAGACGCTGTGGTTCGAAGCAGTCACACGCCATCGCTGCCAATATCGACCCAAGCGGAGCACGCTTTTTCGCTCCAACGGTGGTCCACGGCCATCGAAGGAGCAGGTTTGTGTGCCCCTCCCAGCCGTGCCCTGTGCATGACCGCAAAGGCTGCGACTTTGACTCTTACATTGTAGGCACCTACCCCCCAATATAATCCGGGGGGGGGGGGGGGGTGGGTAGACGAGTGGGTGCCCCCGGTGACGAGATGTTCTCTTTCGCTTGGTGTACAGGAGACTGTGGGTTTGATCCCAACCCTGACGCCTGTATATATGGAGTTTGCATGTCTCTCTCCCCATGGTCGCGTGGATTTTTCTCCGGCTCCTTCGGTGTCCCCCTTCCACATTTAGATCTGGCTGCTATACATCTCCACGTGATAAAGCCACTTCTCAGAGCAATCATTGGCCGGGTCGCTTCTTATACAATGAGTTATATAGCCCAGAGTGTAGTTTTCATCTCTTTGCTGGCCACGTGACCGCACCAGACCACAAAAACTCCCCCCCGATAAAAACGATCAAGCGGCGACGGCGGCACAAAACCATGGTAAACACCACATGGCACCACATGAACGTCTACAAAAAAACCGCAGCTCTACCGATTGCCACGGCCGAAATTGCACTGTGGCAGCACCAGGTATGGAGAGAGAATTACCGGAAATGATGCAGTTGACAAACTGCCGAAGCTGCTGCGGAATGTCTCGCGCAACACCGGAGACCTCGCGAGCAAACATTGACGGGGGTGCGGCGCTCTCCGAAGCCTCAATCACAATTTTTACACTCACGGTCACGCGGCGATAAAACCAAAGTAGGGGGGGGGGTGTGAAAGTTTATGGTGGCCCTCATTGCCCATGGGGCCACCCTCATTCGATTTTCACAATAAAAGAACAAAAAAGTGGAAACATCAAAGCGAGAAAAAAAACAGACAGAGCTCACGACGGGGAGCAGCGGCACATCCGATGCACCACACACCCTTGATGACACGCTTGACCCATCAGCCGTCGAGAGCTTGCTGTGTACGAGGGAGTGGAGTGGAGCTTCAAAACGCATTCCCATTGAGAGGGTCGGTCAATTGCTCACGGTAAACACAACAAACCGCACCAGCTACACAAC